AAAAAAAAAAAAGAGTCTCACAAACTTTCCTGCCCTGGCTGGCTTTGAACGTTGATCCTTAGATTTCAGCCTCCTGAGTAGTAGGATTACAGGTGTGAGCCACCAGCACCTGGCTTGTCATTTTTTACTCAAGCAAAATATTGTTATTTTAAACCTGTGAAAGAGGAGTGGCATGCTGAGGAGAAATAAAGAAGTTAGAAAAGGTGAGGATTAAAATTCTATACTAAGTGGTTGGCAGGATTGGAAAATGATCCTGTCGTTTGCTGATATAGTAATATATGTCTTCATGGTTCAGCACTCTGCATAACCTCTGATCAGTTACCTTGTTCATTGATTTGAGTTTGTATGTGCTTCCATTTCTTCCTCTGAAATCTTTCCTCTATCCTGAGACACTCTGTGTATAGTGATCTAATTTTTCATAAATGCACAAAAATGAACAGATGTCACAGATGTAACTTTTTCTCTTCTTTTTTCTTTCTTTTTTTAAATGTTCGTGGGGCTTGAACTCTGTGCCTGGGCACTGTCCCTCAGCTCTTCAGCCCAAGGTTAATGCTCTACCACTTGAGCCACACTGCCACTTCCAGCTTTTTCTGTTTATGTGGTGCTGAGGAATCAAACCCAGTATCTCATGCATGTAAGGCAAGCACTCTACCACTGAGACACCTTCCCAGCCCCCATTTTTCTTGTCATACACAAGTTGGTATGTTTCGCCAATGTTTTTCACATTTGGTACAGAATCCTCATTATATTGGAACTACAAAATGGACAATCAATCAGTATGTAGCAATACAACATTTTGGTGACTTTGAGCTGTTTTTTGTCTTGTCATGTGATAGCTATTTAAATCAACATTTGCTGGGTGTTTGGCCAAACAAGTACGCAATTAGTGCACAGTTTGCTCTTGGTAGTGAAAGGAGGGAAATGCCTGAATCCCCAAAGTCTCTGTCATTTCTTTATTCCATTGGTAGTGGGCTTTGAACTCAGGACCAGGGTACTATTCCTTAGCTTTATCCACTCAAGGATGCTCTCTACCACTTTATCCACAACTTCTAGATTTTTGCTGGTTAATTGGAGATAAGAGTTTCACTGACTATTCTAATCAGGCTACTTCAAACTGTCATTTGCAGATGTCAGCCTCCTGAGTAGCTAAGATTACAGCCAATGCCTGGCTCATTTTCTTTTTTTTCTTTTAGTAACATGAAAACAAACAAATAACAATATTAAGCCCTGCCTAGTACAGATTTCTTTCCTTACCAGAATGAAGATTTTTCTTTGATCCAGGAGAATCTTTTTAAGAGGCTCAGATAAGATATTGACCAAATATTCCAATTCTCTGAGGGGAACCAAAAGCTCTGCTGGACCCTCCAGTCCTTTGTTGCTCAGACCTGCCAGGGCCTAACCCATCATCATACTGAGAGGTTTAAAAGATGCTCTGTGTGACAACACTTAGATCTTTCAGGCCTGTCACCTCCTGACATAAGGGGCATCATAGGTCCTTCATTTATAAGACAATAAGCAAGGACTTCAGATTTCAAATACTGAGTTTTCATGGCATCTTTTTCTGCCCCCAAACCTTAGAAAGCTCTTTGTTCTTGTAGCCTTACCCCTAAGTCCTTGGAGATGGGTAGGTAACAGGAGGGACTTTCAGGCCCTGAATGCTCCAGGCTCATGCAGTCTATCTTCAGCACATGCCTCATATCATTGTGCACAGAATTTGTGCCGTTGTCTTCACTCTAGTCACTGGCTTAACCTCTGTCCTTCCTGTTTCTTTTCTCATTCACCCTCGTCCTCTCAATCACCCAAGCTGCACCCAACTAGAAACAGCAGTGTCTCTTTTTTTTTCTTTTTTGCCAATCCTAGGGCTTGAACTCGGTGTGGGCACTGTCCTTGAGCTTCTTTAGCACAAGGCTAGCACTCTACCACTTTGAGTTGCAACACTACTTCCAGCTTTTTCTGAGTAGATAATTGGAAATAAGAGTCTCAAAGACTTTCATGCCAGGGCTGATATCAAACTGCAATCCTCAGATCGCAGCCTCCTGAGTAGCTAAGAATACAGGTATGAGCCACCAGCACCTGGCCAACAGCAGTCTTTTGTATTTGTTCAAAAATAATGAGATGTTGCAGCTGGGTATGGGTGATGATTTATGCCTGTAATCCCAGCTACTCAGAAGTCAGCTTTGAGGATTGCATCTCCACCAGACAAATCAAAAAAAAAGTTCAACTAACTACCAAAAGCCAGAACTAGAGATGAGACTCAACTGGCAAAGAGACAGCCTTGGACAAAAAAGCCAAGTAAGAGCATGAAACTCTGAGTTCAAGCCCTACTACCAGCACATATAAAATAAGTAAATAAAAAGTAAGTAGACATAATCCTGTAACTAATAGGAAAAGTAGAAGGTTATAAAGTAATGGAGTACAGGAGGCAGATCCAACTATAAAATGGCCATGGAAGGGAGAGTTGAATAGAGAAAGGACACAGGGATTGGAGACAGAGGATTGCACACACAAGATGCTCAGAGGGGATATTCAGCACAAGAGAAATACCCTTCTTGTCTCTAGTTCCTCCCCTTTCCCAACATAAAGTGTACTAAATTTCTCTTACATGACAGACAATTCTGAAGTGAAAGCAAGTGCCTAACCTCAAGCATCTAAAATAGTCCAGAAGGCAGAGAGCCAGTGTGACATCACAGATGAATTATCCTATAGTTTATGAGGAAGGTCTTACCCTCAATATCATATAACTGCACTGGGATTCAATTTCCTTATCTGTACAACGTGGATGCTGGATTGGATCTCGGTCCTTAGACTTAGATGTACATCAGGATCCCAATGTCAGAGTTTCCACTTGCCTATGCAAAGAAAACCCTCCTCATTCTCAAGGTCTCCATTCATTCATTTTCAAGTTATTGAGCAGAATGATGGTAGCTTCTCCTAAATTCAGGTCTCACCACAATGGACTAGCCTCTTCTGTAATTCTTCATTTCTGAACACAAATATTCCTCAAATGAATTTGAGTATAGATCAACTATAATCATGCTGATGATGGCAATATCTTACCTATGACAAGATGGGACAGCAAGATGGACAGAAGCCATGATTCTGAATAACTGTGTTAAGCAGTTATTTTGTCAATCTGGAGTGCTCTTTTTGGGGCTGTTATGTGAAGGAAAAAAACTACGTATATTTTCATTACTATAACTCCAAGATTTTGAACTATGAGCTTGCCATTACCTTAACAAACATAAGAACTGATCGTTGCTCTAACGGTACTTCCCTAGACCACAATCCTAGAGATTTGGCTTCTGGAGATCAAAGGCATTTGTTTATCATGTCGTTCTTTTAGCAGTTGATAAATTTGCTCCAAAGTTTGAATACTACTAGTCTAAATGAATAAAGGGATTTTTTTCTAGTCAAAGACTGTCTAATTCTATTTGTGAGATTTTTTTAAAGTTCCTGTTTTTAGATTCAGAGTTGAGTTTATATTCTTACCCCAATCTCTCAGTATAGAAAGGCAGTGTTTCATTCTGAAAGCTTCTCATCACAGAACATATCTGGAAGCACACACAAAAATCCTGTGAGGGTTTGATGCTGGTGGTGCACGCTTGTAATCCTAGCTACTCAGGAAACTAAGATCTAAGGATTGCTGTTCGAGGCCAGTCTAAGAAGGAGAGTCCATGAGACATTTGTCTCCAATTAACCAGTGAAAATGCACATGTGGAGGTGTGGCTCTAGTTGTAGAAAACCAGCCTTGAGTGAAGAAGCCAAACAGGCCGGAAAGGATAAAGAAATAGCACACACGTGAAATCCATCCTTTTTACCCAAGACCAGAATATGGGTAGATCTGTGATAAGATTACCTTTTTTTTTGTTTGATATTTTTGTTTAATGCCAGTCCTGGGACTTAAACTCGGGATCTGAGTGTTGTCTCTGAGGTTTTTGCTCAAGGATAGCACTCTACACTTGAAACACAACT